TTTAAACACATCCTGTCGCGCATGCGCATTGGAGGAAAAGGAAAACGCAACAACAAACTGCCTCAGAAGTAGCAAACTCGCTGTACTCTTTGACAGGATGACAATGTTTCTAGTTGTATAAAACCAACTGGATCGTTTCATACAAACTATCTGCCTGGACGGAGTTGTGGATGAAGAAAAGAATGACATAGAAGTAAACACCTAAAGGTTTTTTTGTTTTTTTTACTTTTTTGGAAGCGGCTCTGCGCACTTGTTTCCTGGTAAATACTCAGCTTCAAATACTGTGAGATAATGTGAAAGGAGCGCTTCACGACGCGGAACAGGAGGCCAGCCACCCACCGGACTCTTCTGTGTTTATGCGTGTTCGCTACATGAGCCTGTCGGCGGGATGTCGCTGAGTTCCGGCGGATGGGCTCACAGCCCCGGCCTCACACCGGAGCAGTCGACCGCCCTCACCGGGAGTTATGAAGCCTCCCAGCCGGGCTGTCAAACCGTCCTCATGTCGGTTCGGGTCTCGGTGTGCCACTCCGGGGTTCGTCCGCTGTGCCTTCCGGGAGCAGGTGATGAGTCACTCCGCCTGCAGCTGAGCATGGACCCGGGGAAATCCGGGGAATTCCGGCTGGCGATCCAGAGCCCCGGCAGGACGGGCCAGAGTGCGGTGAGTTACGACCTGCTGGGACTCCTATTTTAATCATGTTTTAACCGTTTTACCCTAAATAAATACAAAAACACCAAATCGTATCTTAATTCAACTTATAATTGGCCAGAGCAAAAGTTCCCTGCCTAAATAGATCATATTAATGTCATATTTTTTTCATAACTTGTCTATACATGTTATTGTCTTGTCTTACATTGTTATTTTCATATTTTTAGTGTGTTACCTGTGGTAATTTTGGCCCTCTATATTGTCTGGAGATTTGTTTAAAAACTAGGAGTTCTAATTTACCTAAAGAAAACATACTGTAAACTTATTTTTTTAGATTCAAACAGTAGATGTAGGTGTAACCCTTGACTGAGTGATGCGACCCCTTGTGGTTAGATCTGTCATTTCACTTTCTTGCATAGCTGACATGGGACCTGTGAGGACCTGGTCAGGCCTCCACAGGTACACTGCTGCCTTTTGCTTTCTTTAACTCTTCCACAGAAATCACAGGTAAAGCAACCTTTACAATCCAATTAGGTTCAGCTAAATAAAACTTGTTTAGAGCAGCAGTACATGACCTTTTTAAAAAGAAAAAGAAAAAAGAAAACACATGGCACATGAATCATAAATAAAACCCATCTACTAGGAAATTTGTAGTTCTTTAAGGATTATTTTACTCTTCATTTCATCTCTACTACAAGGTCTAAAGCTAATGAACTAAACATGGAGAAGCAGCGTTTAGTTCCTATGCTCCACTTATCTGGAACAAACTTCCAAAAACTAAAAAAATGCAGAAAGCCTGAGTTCCTTTAAATCAAGACTAAAAACACATTTGTTTAGCATTGCCTTGCACTGTTCTAGTTAAACAGTTCAACTGAAACATCATTAGTTCAACTTTTTTATTTTCTTTAGTCCAAATGTTTTTAATGTTCTTTTTTGTTTCTGCATTTTTTATTTATTTTTTATTCCTACTTGCTTTGATTCTGTTTTATTTTCCTATATTTTAATCATGGAAAACACATTGCATTGTCTTTGTACTGACTTGTGCTATACAAATAAATTTGCCTTGCCTTGCTTAATGAAAAACTAAACTTTAAGATTTATATTTTTTTTCACAATCATCTATCTATCTAAAAAAGAAATATATAAATATATATACACATACATACAAACACACAAACACACACACAAAAAACGTTCTAAGCCAAATGAAGAAAATAAATAGTTCTTACAGGTATTCCAGATATTTTTACTGTCAGTCTGCCTGAATTTCATCATTCCAAGAGGAAAACCTGTTTAAGCTAGCCTAATAAACTAGCCCCACCCACCAGCACCCAAAATAATTTTTGCCTGCGAGTTTGGTCTAGCCTCGGTCAATGCCCCAGGCCCTAGAACTGACGGGCCAATCACAACGCAGAGATGTGTTTTGAATTTTTGCAAGCATAGCGGGGGTTTGAGGACGTGACAACAAAGCTGCACAACGCTGGAGAAAGCACAACAAGGAAGATGGCAACAACTATTGAACAGTAGCACGCACTGCGGCGGCAGCAGCTTTCAATGGAGCGCACCATTGAAAGTTAAAAGTTCTCTTTTCTGTTGCTGTTGTTCAATAAAAGCACGCTTTAAGATAATTTGAGGTGAGAATATTATACTTTAAAGCATCACTATATGGTCCATTTATCGATTTAATGCGTGATTAAAAAAACATTTTCCGAAGTTGAGAGGGCCGCGGCAACCAGTGGACCTCCGAGGCTAATGGTAGCCTGTATGCAGCGGCCCTCTCTCGGCATAGTCGTGTGTGTGAAGGACTGATGGAGATTTTTGACTCAGCTTTGGAATCAGTTTTAGAAGGATTAGACTTGTGGTTTTCGTTGCAGGAAGAGGCTCTACGCTTATTCATTTTTAAGAAGGACGCATTCACCGTTTTACCGACAGGCTGTTTGTTTACGCTCCCCCACCAGCTTTCTGTCGCGCTTATTAAGTCACAGTCAGTTGCGCTCATTGGTCAGAGCGTTGGCCAATAGGCACAGACATGGTTTAAAAAACAGCGGATTGTTCTCATCAACAATCTTCCCATGTCTCATTCATCTCATATTTAGTCTGGTTTATCAGGCTATGTTAAAAACCTGATTTTTTTTATATCTAAAACAATTACCAGACTTTTTCATTTTTAGTCAAAGTTGTCAAGAGCCATTTTGAAAGATCCAAGGAGCCCCATGTTGCAGACCTCCTGCTATAGATTCTCCAATCATCCACACCATACAACACGGCTTTCCCTGGCTTCCTAAGTTATGGTTTTAACATTAATATTGCTTTAAGAAATGTATACTTTGACATTCTTTAATATGCTGCATCTCCCCTTTTGGTATGGCCATTGAGTCTGGTCATAACTATGGGTCATTGATTCAAACGCTTGATTAAGAAAAACTAGTGTGACACTGTTGCTGACGGTTGTCATGAGGGTATTAATTGTGATGAACTCTCATTTCATCCTGGCTGTTTTCTTTCCTTTTCTCCATCAGTGTCTCCACTGGTCCGTGTGAGCCTTAGCATCTGGGCTTCTAAAAATACACATCAACTGTAGACAACTAGGGCAGTCAAAGTCCATCCAAAAGGCCAAATATATTGCACTTGAAACATAATATCCCATCAAATGTTGAATCCAAGCGTTCCTGTGCAGTTGCAGTTTTGCAAAGCTTGATAATGTGAAAGTGATTGTATATTTTTCAGCTGGAAACTTTTACATTGCAGCTCTGGCTGTGTGTTAGAGGTTGTTCCCAAGCTGGTTTTGCAGCTTCTAACAGGTTGTCCTCTGGTATTTTGCTCAAATTATCTTTCAGTTAACTCTCACCTGCTTACCTGATAAACATCATACCTGTAGATTCTACATTCTCTGTAGATGTGTCCTTTAGGTTTATATTAGTTGGTCATCTCTACTTATTCTAGCACTTTAGTAAATATTTAACTTTACTAGTCTAAAACTTAATTATTTGTGTTTAATTTCAGTCATGGGCCATGGTATGACTCCTGAGATAATCGTTAACTTATTTAGTTTTTAATTTAGTTGGGAGTAGTGGCCTAGCGGTTAGGGCATAGAGCTTGGATCCTGAGGTTCTGAGTTCGACCCCCACTCCCACAGACTGCCACTCTGGCTCTCTGAGCAAGACCCTTAACCCCACACTGCTCCCTGGGTGCAGCCCACTGCTCCCCAAGGGGAGAGCTTAAATGTAGAGGTAAATTTCTCCAATGTGAGGTCAATAAAATTCAATTATCATTATACAGTGGAATCCGCTTATAGTGATCATGTTGGTCTAGAGCCAATTTGAACACTATAAAGGGTTGATGACTATATCCGAATTTACCGTTATTTCACTAATTATTTATGCAGAATATCATCTAAATGCCATTTGTGTGGTTATTTTAATGAGAAAAATTTAATGAAACGGATAGCTTCTGCATTTACTGAACTTTATTACAGTACCATGCAACTTTAATAACAGTATACTGCGCTGGGAGCAGACACAACTCTGGCAGCCTGGTGCCGCCGGTGCATTTTTTTTTTTTACTAGCCTGAAGTTTGAAACAAATGGTTTAATAGAACAACAACATAGAAGATAACTGCATAGGCTACAGAAAATTAAAGCTAGCCTACCTCTATTTTCTGTTGCGGATCTGCTGCGCCGCATTAAGAAATCACTTAACATGTTTATCCATGGTTCCCTGGATCAGTGTTGTCCAACACAGAGTGCACTTCTTTTTCAAAACGATGTAAAAGGTCAAAGTTTTAAAAAAAAAAAACATACAGGAGACCATCATTTTTGATCCACTTATTAATTATTTTTTGTTTACATTCATAAAATGGTGAAAAAGGAACTATAAGTTCTATAAGTGGATTTCTTGATTACTATAAACTAATTATTTAAACAGCATTTGTGTAGAAATGATTCTGTCCCAAGCCTTTTGAACACTATAAGCTGTTGATTACTATATCCGTGACCACTATAAGCGGATTCCACTGTATTATTATTGATTAATCATTAGGTTGAGTAAACTGACTGTTAAAAAATGGAATATACTGAAAAAGCAAATCCAACCCAGAGCAGTAATTAATCCGAAACTGTACAAAGATATAAACATTTTATATTCAAGATAGAAAAACCTTTTTCTTTGATATATTTTTACCAATAAATTATGTAATGGCAAAGTTCGGTTTCACCTGATTCACATTTGGTACAAAAACCTATGGAGCGCACCTTGTCTTTCGATTTATTAATCGTTTCATTGGAAAAACGGTCAACAGATAAATACATGCGTTAATATTTACAAACTGCTTCATAAAATACGGCCATCTTATTTCCTTTTTTGAGAGTTTTAGCAGACTAAGCTCTCAGAAAAATAAGTAATCCAGAATATTTAAGTTTGTTATAGAGTTAAACTTTATTATTTTTCTGCTGAAGAGTTTCCTCCTACAGTCCTCACTATACATCCGTTGCATTCCTCCATCATTCTGCTCGTAGATCAGTTCTCCTTCCTTAACATGCATAATAAATACACCTAGAAATTCATGTGAGCGACTAAAATCAAACCAAAAGGTTTAGGTCAATGTAGAAAAACCTCTGAGGGTCATTTATGATGCGTAGCAGATACACCGAATTAAACAATCGTAGTAATTGTCTTCGCTTCCTGCTTTTTTTCTCACAGTCTCTTCCTCTTTTGCTTTGTTGCAGACCATTGCCGAGTTTGACCTGAGGTCCATCAATTACGAAGTGAAGTCACCAAAGTGCCACGAGCTGATTTCTGTGGCGCCGCCATGTGACCGCATCAGCTTCAACTTCAGCAGCGAGACGGAGGCTGAGGGGTGGGCCACCGTGGTCATGTCCTCGCTGAGAGAAGCACATCGTGGTCGGTTTTTTATTTGTCTACCTATGAATGAGCAAAACAAACTGAGATGCTTCCCTTTCCAACTCGCAAATTTAGCTTTAAACTGATGAGGTCTGAGGAAGCCACACTTGGGCCTTGCTTCTATATACAATAGGAGCTGTGATTTCCAACTGAGCTCTGCTGCTTGATTTTATGTTAACTGTTTTACCAAGTGGGATTCTATGTTAAATGTGTTAAACGGCTAATAGTGGCTATCAGAAGTATTCACACCCCTTCGGCTTTCTCTCAAAGTAACACATCATTGTGGAGGAAAACAAGACAGAATGTTTTATTCCAATATGTCTCTGCAATTTTTTCAAATTGAACCGATGCAAATATGCAAAAAATGTTTTTTCAGGCTCTTCAAATAAGTCTGCTGATGAAGATTCTCAGTCATCCAGGTCATAGTCATTCCGTAAAAGTTTAAAATAGCAATCCACTGGACTTGGTTTCCAAGGTTTGATGACGTTTCGCTACCTCTCCAGGAAGCTTTCTCAATTCAAATGTCTTGATCCGCTGTGAGTTTGAGTCTTTATATAAACAAGGCCTTGTATTGCTTGGAAACATGCAAATTGAAACTGACGAGTGGGTCTTTTGGTTCCATTGTTAGCCTGTAATATCTGAAACCTTTCTATGATTCTGAAGGTCAGTCGTTAAAGGGGGGGATTGTCGTTAAATAAAAACTTCCGGTAGACCAAAAAACTTTTCCCATAGCTTACTTAGCTTTTCTCTCTTCTCTGACAAGGCTTTGAAACTAGTGTGAAAAAGAAAAGGCTAAAGGTTCAGGCTTTGGATGCAGACGCCTGTCAGCTTTAACCGGAGCAAGAAGTCCTAAAAAGTTTTAGCTCATGTGGGATGAATAAAACACAAAAAAAACAAAGCTCACTTTTTTATTTATTTCTGTGAATGGAAATCTGTGTTTTCACAATGATACACCACCAACCATTGTTCTGTCATTAAGTTCAATTCAATACATTAAGAGTGAATTTTATGGCTGGGATTTTTCAGAACTTACTACAGTTTTTTTCTTCTTTTTACTGATATTTTTGTCTTTATTTTCTTCGTATTGCTCATGCTTGCAGCCACACCCCAGGAGAATGGTCTGCAGCACCTCTTTGATGGTCTCCATCTTCAGAACACCTCTGCTCTACAACAAACAGGTGTGCGAGAGGAAAAAGCGTCCTTAATAGTAATTATCTGTTAATGTGATCATTTCAATACCCTATGTCTGTGTTTGGGTTGTAGAGGATGCTTGCATAGAGCTGAAAAAGGCCATAGAGGCGGGGGATATGCAGAGTGCGTCTGTTTTTGCTGCCTCTCTCGCCCGTAGACAGGCAGCCGTCAAGATCCAGCCCTCCACCAAAACATATGAAGACACTGAAATCAAGTAAGGCAGTAATACTGATAATTTAAGGTCTGAAAGCAGAGTTATTACTCGGTTCACTGATGTTTTTGTTTTCTAAACAGTTTGGCTGCTATTGTTGAGGATTCTTCCTCATCCTGTTGCATCACTGTGAAAGTTTTCCCTCACATGACTACTGCGTCATTAAAACAGCAGGTTCTTATAACATTCAAAACATTGTCTTTACACACTGCCTTCTAGGTAATTAGAATCACTAACAGCTTTTTGTCTGCTTGGACTCCTTTCCAGATGTTTCTCGATTATGGCTTCCACCCTCGCGTGCAGCGCTGGATTATTGGCCAGTGTTTGTGTGCTGACCTCAGGTCTCTGGCGTCCTACGGCATCCGTCAGGACGGTGACACAGCCTTCCTGTACCTGTTGTCAGCCCGCCACTCTCGCCTGACCCCTCAAGTCCTGCAGCAGGACCAGGAGAGTGCACTCCTTCTCAGCCCTCCCCTGTCTTTTCAAAACCCCTCCCTCCCCGCCGCCTGCACAAACGGCCCCTCCTCTCAGGACTGGAGGCCATATACCACTCTACCTCCAAGGCTCCACAAAAGCAACAAGAATGGTGAGAAAGTGTCTGTAGTCTTAGACATTGTGTTCTGGATCATGATTTTTAATTTTAGGCAGATCTACTCCTAGTCAGGGTTGTGATTTAAAAGAAAATAAGAAAGAAAATCTAAGCACACAGAGCTGCAACAGCCGACATAGTCGCTCTGCTAATGGTTACTCTAGAAGACTGTGTACGTTTAATGTGCGCTAATTTCAGATTTCTCATCAATTGAATCCTCCTCGGTCAGAAGGAATATGTCAACCCAATCGGTGCAGCTCAGAAGGTTTATTGAAGGAATAGAAGCAGGTATATTGGAGATGGAAAGATGCAGGATGAAAATGGCATGTAGTACCGTGGAAATCCACTTGAGGGCACCATAACACGACACATGCATTATTGGTCAAATGCAATAAACATACAACTGACAAAACCAGTCCCACGGTAATGCCCTCATATGCTAATACAATCGCAATATAGCCCCATTTACACTACCCTTGAAAAACCGATCCATGCCGAGACCGGTTCTGACGACCGTTTACACATCACGCTATCTCGGTTCCTCGCCTCCTAGTGACGATCTTACTGCCAGTATTAAAGAAGGAAATCAAGCAGTTGGTGGCGGTAATACATCAAAAGTTGTTTGCCAACCGCCATAAAGCACAAGAAGAAGAAGACGAAGAAGGAGGGAATCAAGCAAATGAAAATGGCAGCGCCCATCACATTCAGAAAGTTATGCTTGATTGTTATTGCTGTACTTCGGTGTTATTATTTAAAATGCCATTATTTAAAGAAGATTTCGATTGTTGTTTATAGTTGAAGAGGAAGTTGTTCTTCTTCTGTTTCTGGAGCGGCATTACCGCCAACTACTGGAATGGAGCGTGAATCAGGATGTGCACCCAGACGCTGTTGTTATCAGAGAACTGAGCCAGAGAAAAACCGAGCCGAGCCCACCTCTGGAACTGGTCTGCAGTTAGCTCGGTTCGGTTGTGTCTAGCTCGGTTCAGTTCAGTTTGCTTTCCATTTACACACGATAAGTTATCTCAGTTACTGAGCTCGGACTGGTCTCGGCACGGTTTTCAAGGGTAGTGTAAATGGGGTATATATTTGGCAAAGTAAACAAAGAACTTGAGTTATGATAAGTAAACTCTTGCATTGTCAGTAACCAACACGAGGACGATTCCACCTCCTGGGATAATGACTGACATAAAACACAATATCGGACTTGAAATGTATACTTATATCATGAAAAACACACACAGGTTTCATACCCACCGAATTAAGGGAGGATTAATGATGGATGCTATTTTTATGCCACCAAACCACTCAGAAGCACAGAAAAAACAACTTGCTCAGCTAGGTGAAATTGAACTACAAAATGAACAGATGCATAATGGGTAATGTGGTACTAAACAAGCGGACAGACTTTTAACAGGTACGATTGTTTTAAAAGGAGAAGAAAGAAGAGAGTGTTATTCCGGTTATAAAGTCATTGGCTAAATTATTTTTGTATCTATTTGCTGCAGGTGGTTCAGGAAGACAAAGCATTGGTGAAATCAGAGATCTCATCAACTTTGAAATGCCTCAACTTAATAAGGCTCTGAGCTCCCAGACCTCTTCTACCCAGGTACAACAACACAGGCAGAGGCTTGTGACACTGCTGATGAAACATTTTCTGACATTTTATACTTTTTGTTTTTCATCGCCCTCATGTTAACATTGATTTAGCTTTTTTTTTTTTTTTCAAAACAACTAGAAAACCCTTTTACCCCTTCAACAGATTATACGGCAGTATATCTTAGTAGAGATTGACAGATGCAGATTTTTTAATACCAGCTGTTTTGATAATAACCTAACTATCCCCGATATGTGCTGTATTACTTTTTGTTTCTCCATTTATTTGACAAAAATCACACAATTACAGCAAATGTTAGTCGAGTCCTAATTTAAACAAAAGAGCATTCATAAAATATGAAAGAGGATTTAGGCCATTCAATTCAAATCAGTTCATTTATATGGTGTCAATTCATAACACATCTCAAAGCACTTTATAGAGTAAGTTCAACCAGATCATACAGTCAGATTGATTCAAAGTTTTCTCTCTAAGGAAAACCAGTTGATTGCATCGACTTATTGACTCACTCATTCACACTAAGCATGCTTGTAGCGACAGTGGAGAGGAAAACTCCCTTTTAACAGAAAGGAACCTCCAGCAGAACCAGGCTCATTGTGAGCGGCCATCTGCAGATGCCATTAAAAACAAACTAAAAAAAACCCGTCAATCATATTTCTTTTGAAATCATATTTTGTTAAACTTTCACAAATGACAAAAGGTTTAAGAAATCCCAATCTGTGTTTAATACATTCTCATATTGTCCTGGAATAATATAATACAGATTTGTAAATATTAAACTAAAATTTTGAGAAAAGTGGTAGAATAGCCCTTTTGGCATTTTGTGATTCAAAAGCTGCAGTCGTAAGCCAACTTCAGCTTTGTGCGTCTATTATTGTAGAAGCTGGTGTGTGTTATCCAATACTAACGCCAGCCCATCTCTGGTAATGGAGAGCAGAGGAAGTAGATACCTAGACTGAGGTGATCAGTCTAGGTATGTTAGTTAAAGTTACCCGTTTCAGCCTATCATTGGTCAGATCAGTAGTTGGCCATCAGAATGAATATAGCCTCCTCCAAAGCACTAATGAATCGGGCAAAGCATGCATGTTAAAGCCGATACCAAACAAGAACAAAATGCAAATGGCAAAAATATGGTCAGGCTGATGTATCCGTCCATCTCTATATCATAAGATGATTCTGTATCTTTGACAGTTGAAAGGGACCCATTAGTTGAGTCATTAATCGAACTATAACCATATTGGTATAAGAAGAGATTTGAGAAACATATTCTTATCTTCAGCTACCACAGTATAAATGTCAAATTGAATAATACTAAGACTTACTTCAGCAATAGTATCAAGGTGTTACTTTATTGTGTCTCTTATACTATATCCGTTGGTTGTGCTGTTATTTTTACATCTCTTAGCAGCTGATGAAGCAAAATGAAGATGTTTTATCGTCATCTCCCTTTTATCTCCTCTTTCTTTCATCTTTTCTCCCTTTTTTCTGTATTTCCTTTCCTGTTCTACTTACATTGCAGTGCGTAAAATCTGTAATACTCCCTGCATAATTATAATAAAGCTATTTATATGCATAAATCAAGCGTAACGCTATGGCGATAGCCCTACTGCTCCACTTGTGAAAGCAAAATCTTTTGGGCTCTTTTTGGCATCAAGACAATTATTCTTATTGCCACATCGCCAAACAAGATACTGTTTAAAAAAGAAAAAAGAAACATTTTGTTTTTTTAACAATAAGAACTAAAATATTTCAGGTGTTTTAGATCATGTGATGCCCATAGAATTTTACAGGGTTTCTGCAGGTCATTAAAAATCATTAAAAGTCATTAGATTATTATTTTTTAAATTAAGGCTTTAATTGGCATTAAACTTCATTAAATTTGATAATCGTGACATTAAAATGCTTCGGAAAAGAAGCTTGAGGCGGGGAAAAGGCTAGAGAATGGGGAAAATGCAAATTTGAACCAAAGTGGCGGGAAAACGAGGAACTCGGGACATGGCTGCAGCCTGTCCATGGTGAAAATGGTGAAGGATTTTGCCGTGTATATATATATGTATATATATATATATAAGTCATGGGAATTTGTTGATGGCATTAAGATTTTAAAAAGCATTAAATAAGAGTTACTCATTCATGTGTAAACCCGGTTTTAGTCCTTAGGTAAATATATTTACATTTATTTTATTTTTTGACATGGGATCAAGGTTCCATGTCTCAGCCTTTGTTTTAAAGAATGCATCTGGTTTTATGCTAACTGACAAAAAACGTGTTAATATAGAGTTAATAGTCTTATTTTATTTCTGTATTTATTTTCTATGTTCTATAAATATCTGTGTACGATGTTAACTGTTTTGGTCTTTGCTTCAGGGTTGGTCATGTCCATCTTGCACATACATCAACAAACCGACGCGGCCGGGCTGTGAGATCTGCAGCACCAACCGTCCAGAGAGCTACATCATCCCTGGAGGACACCAGCCGGACCCCCTGGAGCTCAGAAGGATCCAGCAGGAGAAGGAGGCCATCCGACAATACCAGCAGGTATGAGAGGGACTCTAAAGCTCTCCCCTCCTTTTATACCACTCAGTTCAACAACAGTTGAAGAGGCGTTTTCATGCAGTTGTGTTGTTGTTTTATCTGACGTTTGTACTGTTGGTGTGGCTGTCAAAGGCTACATAGATTCAACTCTGATGAATCAAAGGAAAACAGGCTCACCATTCAAACTGATCAAGATAAAGTGAGAAAGCTGAAATTGACTGAAGGCTGCCAGAGAAACTGAATCATTCAGACTCACTCAGGTTGACTCTCTTCTCTTTTGTCTCTGTTTTTCTGAAGGAGAAAGGGAGAAGAGAGATGCTGAGGAGTGCTGGGCCTCATAACAACTCATTGCTGTTTAACCTGGACCAGGACTACTGAACATACTCACTGATTCATGCACACTCCACTGCAGCGAACAGACAAGCAACTACAGAACAAATCACCCATCATGCACAACCCTGTTATTGTTTATACAAATACATACTTTAGTTAAAATCCCATTTTCTGTCTCCACTGAAGTTTAACTTCTTTTAAAGAGTTAAACGTTATATTGTTATGTTATTCATATTAAAGCAGTTCAGTTGACGTAATGCAGAATGTGAGCAACATGAAAACATGTTGAGTGAGCCAGTAGGTTGAATGTAAGTGATCAGATTTTGCACTGTGCTTGTTTTTAACCCTGTGATGCAGCTGAAAATAAAAGGTTTTAACTGTTTGTTGCTGTGTTGGATTGAACGTGTTTTTGATTTTTCCCTTCATAAGACGGCAGGAAAGCCTTGCATCGATCCCTCTATGCTCCAAATAACAGGAAACAGTATTCTTTCTGCCAGTATTTTGTAGCACTTCTCTGGAGGTGAAAGGTTGAACAGCCTCTGAAGAGGACGTGTAAGTTTAGCTTTGGCTCTAGACTTGTACTGCTCTTGGATGGAGTGATGGTCAGTCTTTCTGAACTATGCAGACGAGTTGTAGACCAGCCAAACCCTAGAGAGATGGAAAACTGGCGGTTGGTGTAGAAAAAGCAGCTCCTGTAGAAAGTTGTACTTCCTGAGTTGCTCCTTCTGTACTGTCTGTGTGAGGATCACCCTTCCTAGAAACAAACAGCAACCGTTGATGGTTGAGTTGGTCCATGTTGACTGCAGGGGGGTCTGCCATGTCTTTCAGATGCTTGAGCACCAAATTCTCAAAGGGTTTTATGACCACAAACATCAGAGCGACAGGCCTGAAGTCATTAAGTCCAGTGGTGGTGTGTTGCATAAAGATCAGAACCTGATAAAAGGTGATTAGTTGGTCAACAGGGGAAACTATTACATCCTGGAGCTTTCTCCAGATTGAGGATCAACATGCTGTCTTTATCTGAGCAGTTTGTAGGAGGGACATGTGCTGTTGAAGGACAGGGTGAGTGTTTTTCTCCGTGTTATCAACTCAGACCCAGATGAGACGGTTTGTGGTGGGATAAAAACTGACCAATATATGGGGGAACAACTTTTGCTAAATAGGGTTTGCAAAAATGACTGATATTCAAAACAAGTTTCTCTACAGACTCAGACTTTAAACAGTGTTCCTTCCTCCTAGCTGACAGATCTACAACGAGGAATCATTACTCAAGCTTTAATGCACAGATAATAACTGCTGCGCTATTTAAAGATGGGTTTCTTCAGTAATTCCATAATTTGACTGTTTGGAGAGTTCTGATGATTTTCCTCTAATCATGTGCAGGAAAAAAAGCATCTCTCATTTTCATAGATGAGATGGGTCCAGAACTCCAGTCCCTTATGACATATCTAGTATGGGTTAGTCAAAAAGTATTCTTTGTTTGTTTGTTTTTTTTAGTTTCAAGGTTAAAAACACATTCACATAAGTTTGAACTTAAAACTCCATGAAGTAATTCCAACTGTGGGAAATGGCTGCTGCAGGATTGTTGTAGAAATGCCTTTTGATTTCGCTGCTCCTCAGTTTCCATCCATGCCATCCTAAAGAGAGTGCTTTACATCACAATATTAGCCTAGTTAACCAGCCCCACCCGCCAGCGGCCAAAATCATATGTGCCTACGAGTTAAAATTACACATTTATTCTCACATTTAGTCTGGTTTATCAGGCTATTACAATATGGGAAGAGTTTGCTAAAACAACCTTCCTGATGGACATCAGACAGGAACACCTGTGCAGAGTCATTCAATCAATCCCCCTCAAGGCCAACTCAAAGGGCACGCTGTTATTTCCCAGCTTCTCCTTTTAAGAACAAGAGATCAGATAAGATTTCTATGGTTTACATTGGCCTGATTCGCTTTTTAAGTGTCAGACCGATTTATTTATGATGAAATAATATACATCAACATTTCTTCAGGCAAAGGAGCAGGAGAGAAGAGAGAACTTTGAGCGCCTGGTGAAGATGGATGGCCAGGACCTGGTTCCAAATCCTGAACTGGTGGATTGTAAGATTTGCTTTGTTGACCTAAAGTCAGGAGAAGGTGTCCTTCTGAGAGAGTGTCTGCACTGTTTCTGCAAGTAAGACGTGGGAGTGAGAGACTAGTTTATCTGCACCTGGTATTCATTTTTTTTACACAGCAGAATAACATCTATTTCTAAATGCGGTTTGCATAGAGAGTGCTTGCGCTCCGTCATCATGCTGTGTGAGGAGCCCGAGGTGTCCTGTCCATACAGAGATGATGCATACGCCTGTCCTTGGGCCCTGCAGGAGAGGGAGATTAGAGCTGTGAGTTGCACCAAAGCATGCACTATAGCACGCTTTAGATTGCTTTCCCTCACCTTTACCCGCTATGTGCCCTTCCAGCTGGTTTCTCCAGAGGAATATGAACGCTGGCTGCAGAGGAGCCTTTCCGTAGCAGAGTCGAGGTGCGAGGGCAGCTATCACTGTGCAACTCCGGATTGTCCAGGATGGTGTGTGTATGAGGATACTGTCAACGTCTACCACTGCCCGGTCTGCAAGAAACACAACTGCCTCATCTGCAAGGTCAGAAATGAGATCTCACCTCCAAACTGAATTCTGCCTCAGCAAATTTAAGGAGAACAAGTGTAAAACATCCACTAGTGTCGTAGTCAAGACCACATTATCCTGGTCTCTGCCGCTAAATGTTTTGGTGTTGGCCTTGTTTCAGTGCTCCTCACCCTAACCCTGTAAAATAACTTTTTAAGGAGTTTTAAGAAGGTTTTATGTGCATTATTTGATTGAAAGGTCAATTTACGGTGAGTTAAAGAAATACCTAGGCTTTCATTAGCTTAGCAGAAAAACAGGCCCTCACCATGATACTGCCACCACTTGGCTACAAGATTTATTTATTTTTTATTCGGCACATCCGGTTCCTTTTAGTAAAACTGGATTTAAAAACCCAACTGCTGTTGCTTATAAGCATCATTACTTTGACTTTTTCTCATGTTTTCTGTTCTTCTTTTCCTCCTCAGGCCATCCATGAAGGAATGAACTGCAAACAATACCAAGACGACCTCGCAGCCCGTGCCATAAATGACTCTGCAGCTAGAAGGACGACGCATCTACTAAAGGTTAGCTGTAAAATACCACTTTGAAGCAATGAAGTGGGTTTTTTTTTTTTGGTTTTTTTAAGCAAACTAATTTGAAAATTGCTGTTCAGGATGAATTGGTGGCTTTGTATAACCAGAAAGCATCGGTTTCAGCTTGCACCAAGCACATCCTCTCATCCTAAATTCTACTTTGTGTTTTCTTTGTGCCACAAACAGACTCTTGTGCAGTCAGGGGAGGCCATGCACTGTCCTCAATGTGGCATCATTGTGCAGAAGAGGGATGGATGCGACTGGCTGCGCTGCACTGTCTGTCACACTGAGATCTGCTGGGTAACCAGAGGGCCTCGCTGGGGACCCAAGGTAAGAAATCTGTCCATCCCCTTATTTTAGATTCATTTAACCTTTTTCTAATCTGTAAAAGTCTTAATTCTAAGTACGGATGACACAGAGTTAAATAGACGAAGTCCCTGCAGACTATTTTTCAACACCTTTTTTAAACTGACAGGCTTTCAGATTTTTCCTCTCATGGCTGATACAGATATCTTACACAACCGTCCTCATACAGCAGCTGAAAGCTATTAAAAGCAAAGATGTTTAGCGGTATTTAACAGCTGGCTCGGTTATTGACCTGAAAATATGGCGTCGGAAAAACAAGAAGATATTTGTATGTAAAGCGAAAGTTTAATAAACACAGTCGGCGTCCAGCCAACCCTTCTGATCGCTGACAGCTATCTCTGACGATGTTCATTCTCTTTTGGTAAGCTGTAAAACTAAATATTTGGGTCACCTTTTTATTGTAACACCCAATTGAACTAGAAACAGATGTCATCTGCATGGGAGCAGAGCAGGTACTCAATATGGCCACGGCTAAATTTGAACGTCCGTGACGTCAGCTGCAAGGCATCAATATCGAATGTTGCATGATGGTCCTTTAATGTTTGATGATGTTAACTTTCCCATATATATTTATTTTCTTAAAGGGTCCTGGAGACACCAGTGGGGGATGTCGCTGCAATGTCAACAATCAGAAATGTCATCCTAAATGCCAAAACTGTCACTGAGACTCAAAGCGGGGATTCTTGGATAGCTCTGGATATAAACCAGTCTTACAACACAGAAATGACAGGTTGAAGAATAATCTGAGTCATATTTAAACCAAATGTATGCTGGATAACTTGTAAAGCACCTAAATGGATTTTTATTTTCACCTAACAGATCTCTAACCAGCAGGTTGCTTCTGCCTTACCTTAAAGTATGTCTGTGGGTGTGGTTCAGTGCAGCACAAAGACTTATCTTTGGATGCTATTAGTGCCTTTTTTTTACAGCGTCTGGTATGCAGGCTTGGCTGAAAAGAGGCCTTTCGGGGCTTTATTAAGATAACTTCAGGCTGAGTTTTAGATCTACAAACCTGGAGCTTCTTTTGTCCTTGTCTGTCACCATGGTAACATATGGAGGAAAGATCTTACAGCTCAGGCCAGCGACCTGCAAACTTGAAATGCAGGCTGTTGATTGGCTGCTTCTAAGGGTGACTTTCACTAAGAAGCATTTCCAAACGATGGGTCATCAATGCTGATGCTGATGCAGCTCTAAACTCATTACTCTGAAGTTTCATGGCAGCTTGGAACTCATTATTCGGTGAATTTCTGGATGCAGCCGTGCCTTAATTCCAGCAAGTATTTTTTTTTTAGTTTTTCTTTCTCTTTATCCTCTAATTTCAAACTCCAATTTTGCATGAATACAATACAAGTCAGAAAATTTAAGTTTACTTAAGGAGTTAATTGTACCAATTCGTACAATTTCAAGAAATTCTGCATACGATGAATTGCTCTATAGAACAGGCCTAAAGTGTGTTTAATTTTGATTTAGATGTTACACTCTGGGATGATTTGCATAAAACTGAAGTGACCTTATTCTTCCACAGCAGGGTGTCACCAAACAACGGTTTTCAGAAAATGTGACTGAAATATTTGTTTTTTTGTTTTGTGGATGCGTAGTTTTTTTTTGTTTTTTTTTTGCATTAAGATTGTGAAGTGTTACAAACCAGTTGTCAGTATGTTTGTGTGTGTCTGTGTGGAATACCGACTGAATTGTTTGTGGTATGTAGGCTGATGGATTTCATGTCTGCTCACACTGATCATGCAGCTCTGCTGGTTTGAATCAGATCCTGTGAGGAAGCAATGATCAGTGTCAAATGATATTAGTAATTTATTATATTCAATAAGAGAAAGTACATCTAGACACCTTTTATTGATAAGCTAATATTCCTTATAGATAACTTCTATGTAGTAGAGCACAGATGTTTTAGGTCATTTTACAGCTTTTTAAAGTTGTGCATCTTTGGACATTTCTGTCATTCATTTCTAAATCGTATTCTCATACATGACTGCACTGCCTGTTGACTCTACTACACTACTGTCCAGAACTGACTAGCCACGCTGTTACCTGTCAGCGCTCTGTTGCTGATGTATGTTTGTGCCTTAATCATGAATAAAAATGTTTTTTAACTCTCTTTGCTCTACTTTATGATTTTGTTTCCTCTGGATGGCATTAAGCACGCAATAAGATGGAACACTGTTCTGTATTTATTCTCCTAATGATGGTTATTTTATAATTTTTACAACCTTGGTTTATTTTTAGGTTTAAGTTTAAATCTCCATTTGGTGAAAGATGTGATCTATTGCAGGTTTAGAGGATTGCAGAAGTATTAACACACTTTATTCAAATCTTTTATATATTCTTATGTCACAAAAACTCACCTGTCCCAAATATATGAAAAATACTATTTGGATAAGCTGCTCTTCACTTAATGACTGAGTCCCAGAAAAATCAAGTAAAAAGTATCTTAAAACATTGTCTTTTTCAGATCCTCTGATATATCGATGAGGCAAATAAAGCCCATTGCTCATCTTTCTTCAACATTGAATTGGACTAATTGTAAATGTATTCTTGTCCTGTTGGAAGATGTCTGTGCTGATGAAAATCATCCACTTATTATGATGCTGCCGCCAATAGAATTTTATTATGATAGTGTTTATGTGGAGTTGGATTTCCTTTATAGATCAAACATCTATTAGATTCTGCTTTAAGCTTATCCACATTTTTTTTCTTTGATTGTATTTTTGTGTTTCAAGATGTCCTTGTTTAATTTCCTTTCAGGATTAATTGGATATTTATTGAACTGAATTCACTCTGTTTGTATGTTAATTTTCTCTAAACTGAGACAAACAAAAAGCCCACAAAAAATAGCTGTATATGTGCAGAGATATGTTGCAATATAATGATTAATAAGATGACTTTTGATGCAGTTGGTTAAGTGCACTAAATTTCAAGAGTATCAGAGTAAATGGGGCTGAATGTGTCACTTTACATCACCGAAGTGATGGATTATTTTGTTAGTCTGTAATTTGAAATCAATAAGACAATTGTATGTAGTATGGCAAATTACTACAAATAGAATAGAGCATAGTGTTAATTTGTGGTTAAATTTCTGTTTAACTGCAGCAAATCAGAATGAAAAAAAATATATATATATATATCTTTATTACCATGTAGTGTATTACCTGTAGGAATGGACCAGGTACAAAAAATAAATATTTTTCTTTTATAAAACATGAAACCAGTATTTACAGGAGGTAACTTATATTTGTTACTCCATATTTACTTGACTCTAAACGGCTCGGCAGAAAGAAAATATCATTAAAACAGCAAATCTTCTTTTCACGGAAGATGTCTCCTTTCAACAGAGATGTAGGTGCGTGTATCTGGTGCATTTTTACTTTAAACAAGTCAAATTATTTAGTAAAGGGAGATGTTATTTTGCTTAAAAGAGTAAAAAGATAAAAAATTATATTTCTGAAATAATAAGTATATGGAATGCTGTTTTATTCAAAACTACATAATTTAAAGAGGACTGTTATAAATAGATTAATAACAGATATCCCATATAATTAATACATCTCATCAAAAACAAAATCTATATTTAAAAAAGATCATTCTTACTATTTTTCATCTCTTAATTACGGAAGAGGCCAATGAAAAAACAAAAAAAGTTAACTAATTTTTTAACATTTTATTTCAGTATGACAGGACTTTCATCACAGAATTATGACTTTTTTTTTTATCAGAATTCTGACTTTAAGCTTAGAATTCTGACTTTCTTCTCAGAATTCTGACTTTAATCTCAAAATTTTGGATCCTAATGTAGAAGGGCACCCCGAGGGTAGAGATGTCAGCTTCACTAACAAAGATGTGAGTTGTTTGGGAGGAACAGTAACACACTGGTGGAAAATGATGGAATTAGGCGACTTTTACGTGCCTGAGGTGTCCCCAGTGATGTTATTTCATTCATGGAGGAGCAGAAGGTCATTAAAACAAGAGAGCAAGTCTCTAAAACAGACATGGTTATGGCTCGATGCTAACAAGTTTGTTAGCTTTCAGAATTCTGAGAAAAAAGTCAGGATTCTGAGATTAAAGTCAGAATCCTGACTTTTTTCCCATATCAAACTGACATAATATTTTAAAATCAGTTAACTTTTATTTTATTTTTTCAGTGGCCCTAAACCTCTTCCATACTTAATTATACAATTATACATAATTATACATATATATATTTAGTTAGTTTTAACAAATAAAAACATAATCATTTATAAATTAGTAAATCCTAAAATAAGGGCATAGCAAACAGACAGATACATCTTCAACTAAATTTTAGAAATGACAAATCTAATTTAAAATAAATAAATAAATTACATTTTGATGAGAGGACGAGCAAATATAGAGTAATAATTTGCACCATTTTTTTGCATGGATACACATATTTTTGATGTAGTTTGACTCCATAATTATGTCTTTATGTATTTTTCAAATAATTTATTTATTTTCCTTCTGTCTCAACCTTTTGAATGTGTCTTAGTAAACAGCCTATTAGAAATACTTCATTGTTGTTTAAACTTTTTTATATTATATTTTTTCCCCTTTTAATCAGATTTATTTCAGAAGGGTTTCTGTGTTACACATTAGCAGGTGTAATAATGAGATCCAGTGCTTCCAACCAAACCTCAGTGGTTACAGCACGCTATGGTTCCTTTATTCCTTTCATCTCCTCAGTGCAGCTCAGGTTTCAAACCCAGGGCTTCTCTCCTCCCATGAAGGCGGAGTTAAACCTCCCCCAAACTGCTCCCATCGACTCCCTCAAACGTGACATTTCTGTTTGGGAGAGAAGACAACCAGACCCAGACCCGTCACCGGATTACCAAGGATTACCCCGGATTACCACAGGGACCGATCCAGCAGCGCAGGACCGATCCAGGTGAGCAGAAACATCGGTGCTGTTCGGGTTCGCAGCGTATAAACAGCTAAAAGCCACAGACGGTTTAGCTCTGATCGCTGTGTGTTTCTCTGTATTAATGCAGCTGTGGTATGCAGCGCTGTCACAAGGTATGATCTGCTGCAGCCCTGCTGCAACAAAGGTGATCCTTATGCACATAGTTGTAAAGTAGCTGCAGCCTGCCACCGGACTCTAGTAGGGTTTGCATGGGAGGAATTGTTGAATCCAGTCTAATATGAACTGAACTCTTATGATGCATTCAGGGCACATGCAGGAGTGTTTGTGGGTCAGAGGTCAAATGCAGGAAATAGGGTGTCTAGAAAAAAAAAAAGAAAGAAAGAAAATGCCTGTGATTACCCTGATTGGGGATGGGTCTCCATTGTGAGATACATAAAGTTCAGTTATTATTATTATTTATTTTCACTTCAGTTTATTTATATAGAGCCAATTAAAAAAAAGCATGTCATCTCAAGGCACTTTAAAGTTCGCCAGATCATACAGTCAAATTGGTTCAAAGTTTTCTATCTAGGGAAAACCAGTTGATTGCATCGACTCATTGACTCGGATGCAATCCCTCACACTAAGCATGCCTGTAGTGACGGTGGGGAGGAAAAACCTCCAGCAGAACCAGGCTTAGTGTGAGCGGTCATCTGCTGAGGCCGACCGGGGTTCAAGGAGACAGAAGCAGAGATACAAAAAGCAGCTGTAAAAGGCGGCCCCGTCCAGGAAACACACAGCCAGGCAGACAAGCTCTGAGCCAGCTCCCATGTTGGAGGATGACGAGAGCACATCCAGCCAGTCACAGTCAGAGAAACAGGAGTACACTGAAGAAGAAAAAACGGGCCGATCTCCAACATCTATAAACAAAGGTGTTGATGGCAGCAGCACAGCTGATATTTCTCTCCAGGATGGTGTCACAGCCAGAGACGAGGCAAAGCTAATATAAGAAAAGGCAGAGAGAGCACAACGTTAGAGATTAAACTAACAGATTCTGCAGAGTGGGAGAATAGAGATAGAATGAAGCAAAATTATGAAATAGGGGTCCCTATGTCCTCCTGCAGTCTAAGCCTATAGCAGCATAACTATAGAGAAAGCTCAGAATAACCTGAGCCACTCTAACTATAAGCTTTATCAAAAAGGAAAGTGTTAAGCCTAGCCTTAAAAGTAGAGAGGGTGTCTGCCTCAAGGACTAAAACTGGTAGTTGGTTCCACACTACAGGAACTAAAAGATCTGCTCCCAATCTACTTTTACAAATTCTAGGAACCAGTAGAATTTATAATTGGTGTTTTTGTTTTTAGCCTCTCAGATCAACAGCCTCCCTCTTGTATTTCCTCAACATGGCTGAGACCAAAGGGAAGTTTGACTTCGCCATCGACAGAGGTGGTACCTTCACAGATGTGTTTGCACGTCTGCCTGATGGTCGGGAGAGAGTCCTTAAACTGCTGTCCAGGGACCCACAGAACTACAAAGACGCTCCCACCGAGGGAATCCGCAGGGTCCTGGAGGAGGTAAGATGATTAGAGGATGGATGGTTTTAAAAAATCAGCCCATTGGTAAATATTTTCCGTAACTATATTGTTGTTGTGAAAGCTTTGAGGGTAAGAATCTTTGTGTAAATATACAGCGCTTTGGAAAAAGATAGTTTAACCCTCAAACTTTGTTACATTTTGTTTCCACCTTGATTCCAGCTATGGTTAATTCTGTTTAATCACTTTGATGCATCTAGATATAAAAAGTTGAATCATTGTCTTTGCAAATGGCCCCAGCTCACTCTGATTGGATGGGAAGCATTTATGAACGATTCTTCAAGGTTCACAGATTCTCAATCAGTTTTAGATCTGTACTTTAACTGGGCCACTCGAAAACATGAATAATCTTTGATTTAATCCATCCCTTTGTATCTCTGGCTGTATGTTTAGGGTCACAGTCCAGCTGGAAGGCAATGGTCCCCTCCCTATAGTCTCTAGTCATTTGTGACCTCTGATTACTCCTCCTTATCATGCTTCTTTTGGACTTTTGTTTTTTTTTCGGATGGTAGGAAACAGGACAGGCATTTCCTCGTGATCAGCCTGTCGACAGCTCTCTGATTGGATGGATCAGAATGGGCACTACCGTGGCGACTAATGCCCTGCTGGAGAGGAAAGGAGAACGGGCCGCACTCCTGGTCACAAAAGGCTTCAAGGACCTGCTGCACATTGGCACACAGGCCAGGCCCAGACTTTTTGATTTGGTAACATTTGATTTCATAACTTTTTAGATTCATCCTTCATATGTGTATAGATACTTTCTTTTAGGTGTATGAGATTTAGCTATTATGTTTTAGCTCCTAGAGTTTACCCCTTGACCTGTTGTACTATTAACAGTTTAAATGGTCACTTATCTACTAAGCCTAGTTACAAAACTGTGGAGAAAGAAGCTAGAGACAAAAAAGTAAAAGCTTTACCTCATTCTACGTGCCATAAACATAACTGCATGTTTCAACTTTACATATGTTCAGAACAGTTTTAGTCGCTTTTTTATGATACCTTTTTTTTTTTACTCGTGCACATAAAACAGGAGGTCGCCGTCCCTGATGTACTTTATGAGGAAGTCATAGAGGTGGATGAGCGAGTCGTCCTCTGCCAAGATGACTGCCAGCTGCCTAGGACCAATACCAAACGTGTCGTAACAGGTGTTTCCACAGTATATCAATTGTTTAAAACCCCTTTTCTATCAGTATAGTATGTGTTGTTTTTTGTGCTAAAGCTAGATTTCTTTACCTAGAAAACCTTGAATTGTCTCATGACACTTTGCATGTTAGGTTTTTTTTGCACAATTCAAAAGCGAAAAGAAAGGAATTAAGGCATTAGATTTGAACCTCACTTTGTACTTCAATTCTAGGTGCGTTCTTGCTTAATTAACTTTTCCTGGATGGTTTTCTTTTGGTGTGAGGTTAAAAATGTAGAATTACATTTAGATTTCCCTGAGTTAAACTCTACATTTAGACATTCAAAGAGTGAAGTGGGGGCCCCTGTGTATGTTAAATACAGTACATTTAGTCTAGTTGGAAGCTTTGGAGAAGGTTGAAAGACTCACTTTTTAGTAAAACATCATAAAACATCATACGCTATATTTCTATGGAAGAACTTTTTTCTTTCTTTTAGTGTCAGTTGCTGTATTTGATGATCTTTTCATTCATTTGAATTCAGGCTACTAATTTTAAGAGTGAAACTTCAGAAGGTAACAGGAAGGCTAAACAGATTCCAGCAGAAATTTGCTTTTATTCTTTTCTGCTTTCATCTTCTGTCCATCATGAGACAGAACGGATCAGATGGTAAAATGGCCTGTACCTATAAAGCGCTTTTTCAAGTCAGGGGACTTGACCAAATCGCTTTATACTACATTCAGTCATTCCCCCTATTCAAGCACACACTCACACACTGATGGTGGCAAATACATTGTAGCCACAACTGCCATGCGGCTCGTACACTGGCACCACCGGTCCCTCTGACCGCCATCAGTAGACAATGCCGGTGAAGTGTCTTGCCCAAGGACACAGTGACACTGAGAGCCAGCTTGAACGGTCAACCCTTCGATTTCAGGGCAAACTCCTGCAGCTGACGCCACTGTCACTTCTAGGTTTAGAACAGGAAATGTTAGCAGCTCTTTGGAAATCCTAAGTCAACTTTAGGGTTAATATCTTAGGAGGACACATAGGAACTGATATTTTCTACATATTTATGCTAGTAATGCTAATGGATGGCCTTAGAGGCTGATTTTACCTTGTTTGACAGATAAACCTCCTGTTTTACTATCCATACTCTAGATTCTGCAACAAGGACACAACCCTCAATTGCTATCTCTGTATAGTCTTTGGTATTGGCAGGTTAGAGCTTAAAGAATCTATCATAGGCATGTCCTCAATGATGCTCAGAGTGCATGTTTTGTGTTTTTAGGTAGTACAGGGGATTCTCTGGAGGTGTGGCAGGAACTGGACCTGAAACAAGTAGAAAAAGACCTTCGAGGTGTTTTGTCCCGCGGTATATCCAGCCTAGCCGTCCTCTTCCTGCACTCATACACGTCAGTACTTGGACAAGGCTTTCCCTCTTTATCATGCTGATCTTATTGTAGCTATCTGACCAGATGTTCCCTGCTTCTAACTTGATATTTTCCCTGAAGTTGATATGCCGTTGTATAACTGCCTCTCTGCGGGAGATTCACTGTACGTCCATTAACCTCTACTCTATTGTCTGTGTAACTTATACAGACCACTGGGTGAAAGTTCATGTTTTTCTTCCCCAACCCTCCCCCTAGATGTAACCTTCACATTCGACAATTCCTAGAAATCTCTTTGCTCTTGAGGAACTAGTCTGCATATCTTTAAATATTATGAAATGGTAGATTGTAATGTTTGTTTAATGGGTGATTCAGACTCCGGTAGGCAGCATTTAGCCTCTTACCTCAATCTTTACAGATATGTTTGTAACTAGGATGAAAAAAAAACATTACCTAGAAACTTATTGTTTTAATCTGGTTTTATGTTCCCATTAAACACCTCTCTGTTTCAGCTGGTCTGACCATGAGAAAGCAGTTGGCGCTCTGGCCCGTCGTCTAGGCTTCACCCAGGTGTCTCTCTCCAGCGAAGTCATGCCAATGGTACGGGCGGTCCCTCGGGGCTACACGGTCTGCGCAGATGCCTACCTCACACCTAAAATCCATCAGTATTTAAAAGGATTCACCGCCGGCTTTAAAGGCGGTCTGAAGGTCTGTCACAGTATTAGTTATGGCATTAAAGTTAGTTTGAAACTCTCAGTGAATTAATTCCCTAACATCTCATTTTTGTCTTTTCTTCTGAAGGATGTTGATGTCTTGTTCATGCAGTCCGATGGAGGTCTGACACCAATGGGGGAGTTCTGTGGCTCCCGAGCTGTTCTGTCTGGACCAGCAGGGGGAGTGGTGGGCTACGCCATCACCTCATACAGCCAAATGGAGAAGAAGCCTGTAATTGGCTTTGATATGGGAGGTGAGTCCTAAGCCATTGGTGTTAGTAAACAGTGAGCTAGTGCACAATTGTGAAAAATAGCAACATAGTTTGCAAAGTTTTTTATTTATTTCTTTTTTTTATTATTCAAATTCATTTAAGTTTGGTTTTATACCACTTTATAAAGCCACATTTCTCTGCAACAGCTGGAAGTCTGCTATGCTTCTACATGCTTATCTAGACAGGGACATTTCTGTCCATTATTCAGTGGCATACAGCTAATTCTCAGTCGGGAAAGAAAACATCTGTGATTATTATTTTCTATAAAGTCTTACCACCGTTTCACTTTTGGATTAAGGTTTGAACTCTTAACTGAACCACTGGAGCACAAGAAGATGCTCTGAACTAAACCATCCAATTGTAGATACAGGAGCATATTTGGGGTCATTGTTCTGCTGGAAAGCAACCTCCACCAAAATCTAAATTGTTTTAATAGGTTTTCTTCCCAGAAGCAACAAAATTGGCTTCATCTCACCAGAGTGCCTTCTTCCACGTATTTGCTGTGTCACTAACAGGTCCAACTGCTTGCAGCACTTTCCATGACTTTCAATAAATGGCATAGTTGTCGGGGAAACTGATTCTCCTAAACAAGCTGTGTGTTATTTCCAGCTCCTCTAGACTTGGCCTTTTGGCTGCTTCTCCTTGTCTTATCTGCTGTGTTCCTTGGTTCATCATGATTCTGTTTGTTCATTATTATTCTCAGACACTTTGGGCCTCCACAGAACATGGATTTATACTGAATGCAGAGGACTATTTATTAAATCTGTGTCTTCTACAGTGTAAAAATGAAATTGTTTGAGGCTACCTTTGTGTGTGTGCACCTTAAACCCTAATAGCACCCACACGCTTGTACTAAACAGTATATTTATGCAGTATTGATATTTTACTTCCTGTTTTTTTTTGTTTTTTATCTTTCTCTATTCTGTTACCCTGCAGGAACCTCCACCGACGTGAGCCGCTACGCAGGGCAATATGAACACGTGTTTGAGGCCACGACGGCTGGAGTCACCCTGCAAGCGCCTCAGCTGGACATCAACACCGTGGCTGCAGGCGGAGGGTCCCGGCTCTTTTTCAGGTTATATTGCACCTACAGATTACACTTTTTGGGTTTATTTGCTTTCTTTTCCAACAGTCATAGAATATATGTCTGAATTTTTCCCAGATCAGGGATGTTTGTTGTGGGACCAGAATCTGCTGGTGCGCATCCAGGACCAGCCTGCTATAGGAAAGGTGAGATTACAGACTGCTTCTGTGTTTATTTTCTGCTCCTTCAAGTGCCAATCCTTTTTCGGCATTAGGCTCCATCTTTTATAAGTTGCCCTTTTAATCTCCTGGCTGTTGGACAATAATTCACAGCTGAAGTTTTTCAGCTCTGTTTCCCTGCCCCTCCTCTGGGTTAATAATCCTCCTACTCTTCAGAAAGGAGGGAAGAAAAAATGGCACAAATTAAGTCATAGATTAAGTCATAGATTTCCACAATGTTTTTTTTTTTTTTTAAGAAAAATTAGGTTTAACTGAAAACAAATGTACCTTTGTTAAAAAGGTACATTTCCTGGTCAGATTTTTCAGATTTTTTTTGTATAGTTTAGATTATTAGATTATTTTTCATTTTTCCGCAGGTGGCCCTCTGACTGTGACGGACGCTAACTTAGCTCTGGGTCGCCTCCTTCCTTCATTCTTCCCTAAAATCTTCGGCCCTGCAGAGAATGAACCCCTGTCTTTGGAAGAGACTATGAAACATTTTCATTCTGTCACTGAGGAGATAAACACCTTCCTGTCTGTAAACCAAACACAGGTAGACTTAGCTCTTTATTGTAATGACAGATATCAAATGATGGAATGAGAGGTTCATTATTTCTGTTTTCCAATGAAGGCAGCAGCCAATGGGGACAACAAAACGCAGAAGAACATGATGCCAGACAGCCAATCAAAGATGAGTGTGGAAGAGGTTGCTATGGGATTCATTCGTGTTGCTAATGAAGCAATGTGCCGGCCAATCAGGGCGCTGACTCAGGTGTTTTACTTCAAAACTCTGCAGGAATAACTTTCATTACAACAGCCAAAAAGAACTGCCTCGTGTAACCCTTGTTTTTCACCAAACCTAACAGGCAAAGGGTCATGATACGTCTCAGCATGTGCTGGCATGCTTCGGCGGTGCAGGAGGCCAGCATGCCTGCGCCATAGCCCGAGCTCTGGGAATGAAGACCGTCTTCATCCATAAGTAAGCTTGATAATGGCTTCTAGAGAGCAAAGGGAGTGAAAGTAATATGCAGGAGTATTTAGTTGCTTGTATAAATTGTTGATAATCTGGTTTTGTGTGTGTCTGTCGCTCTCAGATACAGTGGTTTGCTGTCAGCGTATGGTCTGGCCCTGGCAGATGTTGTGGAGGAGGTGCAGGAGCCATGCTCCTTAAAGTATGAGCAGCAGTGCTTCAGCGAGCTCGACCGCAGGATGGAGGAGCTCTGCAGACGCTGCCGTGACACACTCTGTGCACGTGGCTTCTCCAGGTCAGAGGCAACAGAAACTACTGATGAATTCGCCTATTAAAACTAAATAGTAACAGTTGTGAAAGTTGGTTCTTCTTTTTTCCTGCATATTGTCAGAAAAGCTCTATTATCCAATTTTTTTTCAAACCTGAATGCTAATCCTGTCGGCTCGTTCTGCACAGATGACTATAATAACTTAGAATAGATTTTAGGGTGAATTCTGAAGCATGATCAGAACTTGGAAAAAAAGAAAGCCTCTGTAAGGTAACTGAAAGCAAACTAAAGTAGATAGCAGCATCTCGTCATCACCTTGTTTTTTAAAAAGCAGCACTTAAAAGAAATTTTTTTGACATTTTTACCACAGGTGCTGTTGATTAATTCATTCTCTTTAGTTTCCTGCTCTAAAGAAATTAATCAGCAAAAGATGTAGGTTGCATTTATGTGTTTTTAAGAATGTTTTCTTCAATCGTGTTTGCTTTTTTTTTTTAAGAAATGTACTTTTCATTGTGAAAATTGATACAATAACAGCTTATTTGACCTTTTTTGTATTATTCAGAAAGGCGTACCTTTAAAAACTGCTTTACCTTTTTGCCAAATTGCCTGTTTCTAAGTAACGATGACTGTAAACGGTTTCGTAATCTGACAGGCTTCTCTTGTCCTCCTCAGCGGTCAGATTACCACAGAGGTTTTCCTCCACCTGCGTTACCAAGGCACTGACTGCGCTCTTATGGTCACAGCTGACGGATTTCCCAGCCACGCCCAATCATGTCGAGCAGGGGACTTCCGCGGCGCCTTCACCAAACGGTCTGCAGTCTCATCATTTGCTTGTTTTCTGTGCCAATGTGCTGCTCACTAACAGAAAGCTTTGTCCGTATTTGTTGACATAATGTTCCATTAGGTTGATATTCATATTTTTATATCGCAGTTTACTGTTTTCATGCTAACATTGCTTCATGTTTATGCTTTACTTCATGGCCATAACTCATATTTTTTGGGTAAAGTTATCTGAAGGAGTTTGGATTCACCATCCCAGACAGACCCATCGTGGTGGACGACATCAGAGTGAGAGGCTGTGGAAAATCCGGGATCGATTCTGTGCATAAACCAAAGATGGGAAACACAGAAGCCAAACCAGTCACGGTATACAGAGTCCACGATATTATAACCACACATGATCTCGCCCTACTATTTACATTTCACACATTTGATCCATTAACACCTTAAATAAGCAGATAACGGATATTTCTTTGATAGATTAATAATATGGCATCTGTGCCTGCAGATGACCAAGTGTTACTTTGAAGATGGCTACATGGGCACCAGTGTATATCTGTGGGAGGAGCTGCCATGTGGTAAAAGCATCCAAGGCCCGGCCATCATCATCGACAAAAACAGGCAAGCTTCTCCGTGGGCTGCTTACTTACCATCAGGGTATTAGTGGCCCAATATGCTTTGAAGTTTCTTACAGAGCTGTCAGGGGCAACATTTAAAGGTGTAGTGGAGGATTTTGACGAATTTTTGAAAAGGCTCGCCCTCTCAACCTTAAAAAAAATTGCACATGCACAACTCTATACCTGCACCCGAGAAGGAACGCCTATTAAATGTGTGGGAGAGCATGCACGAGCCCATTTCTCCTCATGCACGCTCTGTTTAAAAGTTGCTGTTTGCATCACTCATTAAAGCTTACTTTTCAAAAGAAGATTTGACATTTTTCCACTATGTCAGACTCGCCACTGGTAAGTGAAGATAGAGACGAGCACATATGATGATGGCAATGATTGACAATTAGTAGGATGACTTATTTTGATGATTCACCTAGAAAAAGAACACCCTCCACTAGACCTTTAGGTGAGGTTTTCCATAGGAGAGAAATGCAGCTCTTGCCCTCTACCATCTATTGCTGCATACTGCCAGTTAGACTACTAACAGAGATCTCCTGATAATTTAAACATTCATTCACTCTTGAAAAAGGCAAGTCATGGTGTGAAAACTAAGGAATTGTCCAAAAGCATCAGAACATAAAGGGTATAAATGGAAAACATGTCTGGGAAAATGATCAAATAAAAACCTTACACAAGAATAGGGCGGGGTAATTATTGGCATTTGCAATATAATCACAATTTAAGAAAATGCAATTTTCACCTTACATTTAACAAGAGTAGGACACTAATACACTATATGTTTAGAGTGGGTTTGTTTCCATGAAGAAGGAAGGAAACCTCCAGCTAGCATGCAAGTAGAAGCTTTTTTCCAAACAAAATTTACAGTAAAGTCCTTCAGCAATGGACTCTGGACAAGCAAGCTTTAAGGTAATTGAAAACCCTGGAGTAAAACATCTAAAATTCCAGCACAATAATTGCTGAAAGTAATCCCAATTTAGATTTTTGGCTAAATCTTTCAGCCCTACACTAGAATATAAACAAATCTATACCAGTTTAAGTCGAAGTGATCATTAGTCTTGTCACAGCTTGTTTCAGCCCTTTTATTGATATCTGTCATGACTCGGCAGATTTACATTCTGGCTAGAGGCCAGAGCACACTGAACTTGATTTTGTGTCCAATCAGAAAATTGCGTTGGCCGAGGTTGTAGCGTTTAGCGCTCATTGAAAGCCAATGGGGATGATTACACCCAACACGATTTTACACAAGGGGGCTTGCGTAGCTCCAACTGAGACAGACCCCATGTCTATTTTTGTCAGACTATGCAGGAATTCAGCATCAATTTGATGGGTCTGACAGCAAGAGAGACGTGGTTACAAAGTAAAAAGCTTTGGGGAAAATACAAAATAAAATCTGTTAATCTCACAAGGGAAGAGTCAGTGTTGGAGTCACACAGAACATATATAGCAAGTGGGACAGACTCGTGCAAAAACAATGAGTGAAACAAAAAAAATATAATACTTTACTCGCGATAGGAGTTTAGGAGGACAGAAATCGGATAAAGTAGTGCTCCTCTATTGGCCTCACAAAAAACAAAAACAAAAGAGGGACAGAAAGCAAAGTTTATCACTTCAGGAGCAGAAAAAACGAATATAGGCCTGGTAAATACAAAAAACTAAATAACGAGGGACAGACAGAGCATGTAAGCGCAGTGTATCTCTCACCTCTATGAAAAACAGAAAGGGGGGAAAAAAACACTGATGAACTTCCCAAATCCCCTCTGAGAATAACCTCTCTCTCCCTCAGTCAGCATATAAACTGTCCCAAGGCATTTATTGGTGTTTTTCTTTTCTTTAGATGTAGATCTCCTTATGTTTTTAATATCGGCATTTAAACATTCTCTATCTGATCTGGAGTTAGATGCTGCACAGACTTGTTTTTCTTTATGGCTTTTCATAATCTGTCCAAGTGAAATGTGGGAAATTGTTTCAATCTCTGTATGGCACAGAAACAGAAGTGAAAAAAAATCTACACAGATCTGCCCACCCTGCCTAGTCAAAGCTTCTTCTCTATACGCAAATAGTGTGACATGAAAAAAAATCAGATCGGAGATTGAAAAAAGGTCGTTTGAAAACATAATTTTTCAAGAGAAAAGAAAATGTATGTTTTTTTATACTTCATTCATTTAGCATATTTTTCAGAGCTGCTCTTTTAGCATAAGGTTAAAGCTGGTCAATCAAGTGCTTTATCACTTCTGTTTGCAATTATCCTCACGTGCTTATTGGTGTTGTACGATATTGCCAAAAATCAAGCCTTTTCTTTTTGTTTTTACCAAACTCACTGCACTAACCACAAGCACACATGCTTGGCTCCAGGGTTTCATTGTTTTCTGAGCCTTGAATGCTCGCATGCTCAGAGTCTATCGTTACAAGTGCTATCTTTTACTGGTATGCATGGATCTGCACACTACTGTCACTACCCGATCAGTCCCGGAAACAAGATCGATTCTGCGCATGCGCCATTAGCTCATTTGTGCATGCGTATCCTGATATACATCGCCCTGGATTTTATTTTGTTAAAAAGACCTAAATGACGTTTTTCCCTCCCCAAAAATAGTAAGTGTGCTAAAATATAATATGTTAAAGGTTAATGATTTATTTCCTGAAAAAATGAATTATTTAGAATCCTTTCTGTTTTATCACTCGTCTCTGCCTGATCTGCACAGGAAATGGGATCCTACGCTACTTCCAATGGCTAACCTTTTCGGATTTGGATTTAAACATAAATCTAGTCTCTTTTTTTATTTTATGTTTTTTGTTTCATTTTCAGCTTATGGTATATAGTGCATAATCTGAAGAAAGAAACAACTAAAATGCAGATAAACATGGTTTAGTCATATTTTGCCGGACTGTCTGAGCATGTCTGATGACGACGTCAGAGAAGCAGTTTAACGAAGAAAATGTAAAAAGCATCAAAAGTTTCTCACAAAAGTCCTAAAATATTTTTAAAGATGATCATTCTCTAGTGAGTTAAGGATAGAAATAACAAATTTTAGTACCATAATTACATTATTTATGGACACCCAGATGGATATGTATTTGCGCAAGATGGATCGTGCTTCCAGGACGGCTATTAGCAGTTTTTTCTGCCTTTCTATGTGGCTATAAATCCACTTTAAGCCTGTTATCGGCACCTACAGAACTGAAGTGATACAATTGATAACATACTCTTGTTAAATATAATGTGAATGCACGTTTGCATTTCTGAAGATTGTGATTACATTGCAAACGATTATCCAGTGTTGTTAATGGTGACCTGGGCTGTCACCATACAACACCAGGTAGTTGTTTTTAAAAAAAAAAGTTTTAAATATAAGCCCATGATGGAAATTAATAATTTCAGTATTCTACCCTTTTTCATTATTCATTTTTGTCACGTTGTTAAAAAAAGGAATTGGGCCTTTTATCATCTGTTGAAGATAATATTGGTTGTATCCTTGTGGATGTTTGTTCCAAATTCATCTAAAAAAATTCTTTCAGTCCTTTACATTAAAACGATCCATATACCCGCTATTTTTTTTGGTTGCTATCTAATGTCTTTAATGTGTTCACCATCAGCACCATCCTGGTGGAGCCATCCTGTGAGGCCCGTCTAACAGAAGAAGGCAACGTCTGCCTCACTGTGGGTTCAGACACCCAGTGCGCCATTGGCACTGAGCTCAACACCGTGCAGCTCTCCATCTTTTCCCACCGCTTTATGAGCATCGCAGGTAGGTCGGAACTTTAAAAACATGGATGAAGGGGATTCTAGGGGGGGTTATGAAATAGATTTATCTGTGTATGTTTGTTCTGTTCACTGCTACAGAGCAGATGGGCAGAGTCCTCCAGAGGACCTCCATCTCTACAAATATCAAGGAGCGTCTGGACTTCTCCTGTGCTGTGTTTGGGCCTGATGGAGGTTTGGTGTCCAACGCGCCGCACATCCCTGTCCATCTGGGGGCCATGCAGGAGACGGTCCAGTATCAGGTGAGGAGAAGGAGCTCATCAACTCAGACTGGGTACCAGTTTACTCTTTTTTTTAATGACCCATTTTCCTTCTGTTTGTGAAGATCAGATCAATGGAAAACAAACTGAACGAAGGAGATGTGATTCTGAGTAACCACCCGTGTGCCGGAGGCAGCCATCTCCCAGACCTGACGGTCATCACACCGGTCAGGCTTTTGGTTCTTCTCTAAACGTCTTCATCTGTGCCTATATTTGTCCTTCCTTCACTGTCGCCTTTGTTCTGTCTTCCAACCCAAGGTGTTCAGGAAAGGAGTCAACAGGCCTGTGTTCTTTGTGGCCAGCAGGGGGCATCATGCTGACATTGGGGGCATCACTCCTGGATCTATGCCCCCCCACTCCACTTCCCTTCAGCAGGAGGGGGCAGTCTTCACCTCATTTAAGCTTGTCACTGGGGGAGTCTTCCAAGAAGAAGGTAAAACGCATCCTGTTTCCCTTTGCCTCTTAGAACATGGATGTTTTCCTGTGGTGTTTTATCTGTGCCTGACTCTTCCACTCGTCTCCATATCAGCCGTCACTGAAGCTCTGAAGGCTCCGGCCCAGTACCCCGGCTGCTCTGGGACTCGTAATCTCCACGACAACCTGTCAGACCTGCGGGCTCAGGTGGCAGCCAATCAGAGAGGCAGCCAGTTAGTGGGAGAGCTGATTGACTGCTACGGCTTAGACGTGGTCCAGGCCTACATGGGATACATCCAGGTAAACAGGCTGAGTGTTCCCGATAACTTTTTCAGTTTTTTTTTTTCTTTTTTCATTTTTGTCACATTACATTTTTAAACTTTTTTGTAATTTATTGAAGTTTAAACTGAAGGTCAACAATAAAAAATGTACCATTATGTTTTTTCTTGTAAAATGGACAGTCTTGGTTTTTGTTACCACACGTTTTAATCGTTTATTTCAGTTATCTTTTGCCTCTCTTTTGTTAAGACCATATTTGTAGAATGCATGGCTCATAGTTGTTCTGCACTTTTTTTCAAATAATTGCTAAATCTGCATACCGCCCTGAGATCGACATTGCAAAGGGACAGGGAAGCTGGTCGGAGTTTATCTGAAGCTATGCAGTTTTTAGGTGAAGAGAAATCCTGAAGAAAACCTGCGTCAGGCTTTGAGATACATTCTTGCTAGATTTTCGTCTCCCAGATGGGCAAGAACCCAAACCAATTTAACTAAGAATGCTTTCCGTTCAATCTGACAGGGCTTGAACTATTCTGCAAAGAATGAGCATACCTTTTAGTGTCTAGATATTCAAAGTTGGGAGACACTGCCCAATAGACCCGTGTCTTTAATAGCAGCATATATAGATTTAGATTCCTACTAAATACCCATACAAACCTTTATCTTTCTTCAAAGATATCTTTCTATGTATCCCTACTTCTTTTGATGATGTACTGCTTTCTGGTTTCTGTTGGTGTAACTGTAATGTAAGGGACTGTAAGGAATTAATATTTTATTTAAGAGAAGTCCTTTATACATGATCCCTTTGTAGGGTGACTACAGGTTCCAGTGTTACCTTTGTGTTTCAGAGCAATGCTGAGCTGGCGGTCAGGGACATGCTGAGAGAGTTTGCACGCCGACGACAGCACAGCGGCTCCTTGGAAGTGGAATCAGAGGATTTTATGGACGATGGGACACCGATCAGACTTCGGGTTCAGATTGATGAAGAAGAGGTGAACGAGGATTTCTTCCTGGGGGGATAACTTTAAACTATGTAAAGGGATGATGATGAACCTTCATCATTACAGGGAAGCGCGGTGTTTGACTTCACAGGCACGGGAACGGAGGTGTGGGGGAACTGCAACGCCCCACGGGCCATAACCCTGTCCGCCCTCATCTACTGCCTGCGCTGCATGGTCGGACAGGACATCCCCCTCAATCAGGTAGAAATCGTTTATGTTGACCTTCCTGTTTAAAGTTTTTCCAGTCCTGGAGAAATAATTATCAATCTGGACAAAAACAGTTGGGCAAAACTATTTTTGTTCTAAAACTGTTGAAAAAAACAAATCCACTGGACTTAGTTTCCAAGTTTGAAGACGTTTCACTTCCCATCCAGGAAGTTTTTTCAATTCAAAATGTCAGAATTAGTGTTGAGTTTGAGGCTTTATAGAGTGGACCAAAACAAAGCCTTGTTTTTGCTTAGAAAACATGCAAATTGAACCGGATGAACGGGTCCGCCCCATCCAGGAAAAACCTTCCTGGATGGGAAGAGGAACGTTTAACTCTGTTGGAATGATTATGACCTGGATGACAGGGAATCTTCAACAGCAAAACTATTTTTGCTCATGCAGGGTTGCCTGACGCCGATCAAAGTTATCATACCCCCCGGCTCCATCCTGCAGCCATCCCTGAATGCAGCTGTGGTTGGAGGAAACGTGCTCACGTCTCAGAGAGTGGTTGATGTCATATTTAAGGCGTTTGAGGTGTGCGCTGCCTCTCAGGTGAGACATAGGTTAGTTCTCTTCTAATAGTGCTGACCAGATGATTGCAGATGTCTGAACCACTGCTGTCTTCCACCGATCAGGGATGTATGAACAACATTTCCTTCGGCAGCGAGAGAGTCGGCTATTATGAGACGGTAGCTGGGGGAGCGGGGGCGGGTCCGAGCTGGCACGGGCGGAGCGGCGTTCACTCTCACATGACCAACACCCGCATCACTGATCCAGAGATCTTGGAAAAAAGGTGGAGGCAGTTTCCTGGCGCCATGGATTTGTTTTGTTTCTCCTGTCTGACTAATTGCAGCTCGTATCCATCGGTTGTCCAGATATCCGCTGATTTTAGAGCATTTCTCCCTGCGACCCGGCTCAGGAGGTGCAGGGAAATACCGGGGTGGCGATGGAGTCATCCGGAAGCTTCTCTTCAGGAACAAGGTTGTCCTGTCTGTCTTGACTGAAAGACGAGCCATCCGCCCCTACGGCCTTATGGGTAATCTTTGCTTCCTGCTCCAGATCTCCTTCATTTATTTCCTTTTTTCCTTATAAGGTCTTGAGATTTTTTCACTTGTTGATCAGAGTTTTTTTTTTTTTCCTGCTTTTTTCCCTCTGATGCTCAGGGGGCGAGGATGGAGCAACAGGACTCAACCTGCTGCACAGAGCTGATGGTCGGACCCTCAACCTGGGAGCAAAGACCAGCGTCAGCCTTGAGCCCGGGGTAAGGCGAGGAACGATTGTTCGGAGATTCTCTGCTTAACGTCTCCATTAGACCTGCTGCATTTAGACTAAATTAGATTTACATTCAGAATTATGTGCTTTTTTTTCTCTTATTCAGGTGTTTGATTAAAAATCAAACAATAAAATCGTATCAACAAATATTTATGGTAGCATAAAGATTTTCTCAAATCTACGTATACAGTAAAACAAACTGGCTGCCATTACAGCTGTTACAAGCACCTCAACAATGGAACTCTGTGTAAGGTAAAGGTATAGTAGAGGATGTTCTTTTTCCGGGTGGAAAAATTGCAAACCTTCTTTTAGAAAGTAAGCTTGTATGAGTGATGCAAACAGCAACTTTTAAACAGTGTGCACAAGAAGAAATGGGCGCATGCATGCTCTTTAATAGGCGTAAAGGGTTGTGCATTTGTATTTTTTGTGGAGAGTGAAAATCCTCCTCTATACCTTTTCATTTTTCTTCAAATAAGTTTATTTTCTCTTTGTTTCAGCAGGGTTAGTAAGACAATTTGCAGTTTGTTTTAAATAAGAAAAAAACAGCCGTATCTTATTTAAAGTGCATAATTTCTAAATACTTTATACCTGCTCAAATGAAGGCAAATGCACTTATTAGAGAGAAATGCAAATGCATTCATAAGACATTTTTTACCTATTTTTAGAAAAGTTTTTGCAGCAGGAAAGTTTATAGTTCTGCTTTTCATTTGTTGTAGGACTGAAAATGTAATGTGTTCTATAAAGGAATGTGTGGTGATGTTACAGCCTGTTTTAGTGAGATAAATACAGTTTGACAAGATAAAATTCATATTTCTAAATTGAGATTAAATAATTACATAGTGGACTTGCGGATATGTCTTTAACATTCTTAGTCAAAGATTAGCGTAGTTAGAATTGTTAATGATATTCCATGTAGATTTAATGTGTCAAGACCTTAACTCAGATTTTAAGCTTCAATGTTTCCTGGATCAGCCTGTGCCATGATGAAAATGATGAGAATTTTCAAAAATAAACCCGGTAAACTTTCTCTAATATTGTCAGTTTCCTGTTCGGCTGAAGTCTCTGTTGTTTTAGACCCGATGAACAGCAGACATGCTAACACAGGGAGCACAGACTCTCTTTTTTGGTTTCTTTTGAGTCATTTTGCGCTGCTCTCAATTAATTTCTAGCACCTCAATGATTCTGAATAAAACTGCATTTGAGTCTTTTCTTTTTTAAAGCATAGTTGTTATTCTCTGATTAGAGGAAGTTTTTGTTTTTTTCTTCCCATTAGTATTAATCATTTTCCATCAAAATTGACTGATTTCTGTTTGACAAACTACTTAAATCCTGACATTCTAACTAGCATTGATGGGTTTTTTTTTCATGGAACATTTTTTTGTGGTTTTAGAGATTACATGACATGACAAATTTTAAGCCCTTTAAACTTCTAATTAACTTTGCTGTGTGATTACATCAATTTAAATAGGATGTTCTTTCTCAAAAATAAAAAACAAGAAGTTTTAAAATAAAAGGGTAGTAATTATTTTATCTTAAAAAGTAAATAAATGAAACGAATTGGATTTAACAGTCGTTATCAGTAGCATATAGCAATGACAAACTTTGTTCTAGTTTCTTTAGCAAAATCTCTGGAAGCAAATATAACACTTTGACAGACAGTTTTTCAGGTTACAAAAAAAGTGCTTTTAAAAGAAAGAATAGCTGACAAGATTAATAACAGCAGCTTAAATAACAGATAAGAACATGTTTGCTGTCTACACTGCGTCTGTTTGTGGGATTTAACCCATATAATCACATGTGGATTATTAATCTGAGGCACATTTTAATTTCTTTAATTAAATATTTAATTTTGTTATTATTCTGATTTGATCCCAATTGTAACATCTGTCACTGCATTGTTTTTTCCTCCTATCCAAAAGGAAGAACTGCACCATAGACATCTACCTATTATATCTTATAATTGAGGAATAGTAAAACAACATTGATTTTTTTATTTTTTTTTTTTAAAGACATATGTCTGCTCTTTGTCTCCCCATACAGGACATGTTCTGCCTCTACACCCCTGGAGGAGGGGGGTTTGGGAACGAGGAGCTGAAGAACGGGGGACCTCAGAACAAGAGAAGGCGTCTGAATGAGACGTTCACTGAGAGGGGGAGCGTCTTTGAATACCGAATGGCACAAGAGGGAGTGTAGGGAGAAAGGAAAAGAAAACTGGAGGCCAGAGGAGAGTAGAAATCAAATAAAATGAGAGCCTGAGAAAGAAGTTAAAACTGTAACAGCTGTAATTTCTAGTAGACTAATAGTGCAAGAAGTAAAGATTTTTAAAAGAAAGCTGATATCAGGCCAAAAGGTTGGATCAGATTCCTGATCTATATGAGGATTACTTTGTTAAATTTCCACTCCTTAGTCTGGTGCAATCATAACTGCCTGAACACATTTTAACTATTTCAACTGTTTACTTAAAAAAAATTATTAAAAAAAACTTCCATATTTACAACTATCTTATGTTTCCTTCTTTTAGAAGATTAGAAAAATAAATTTTGTTACAGAAGGCTTATCTCCATCATGTTTCATCTAAAAGCATCTGTGTGCAAAAGTATGGAAAAATCCACATTCTTCATATAAAGACAGTTTAAATGATACAGACTTGATGTGTGACAGGTAGTCACACCCCGGATTGTTTTGTTAAGCAGAGAGGAGTTAAAGCGTTGATCCCCCTCCTCCCACCTTTGGTGTCAGGAATGATCATGAGCAGAAGGAGAAAGGATGGCGAGGGAGTGCAGGCATGCGTAGGCAACTGATACAGAGATAGTGGTCCCAGCAGGGGGGAAGCAGTGGGAGGCTGATGGCTGCTGGACTGTTGATGGAAATCTGATTGCTACAAGAGAAAGAAGAAGGCTGGAACCTACCAATTCCTGAATCAAAGTTCCTACAGAGAAGCTGCCAACTGAAGATGGCTTAAAACTCAGTTTTAAAGGCGAGTAAAGTAAAGGTTAGGAGCTGTGTGTTCTTTATAGAAAGATGCATTACTGTTCCCTATAACGGCTTGCTCAATGTCCCAGTAAACCTAAACAGACCATGTAATGGTGAATACGTACCGAGACCATTCATTAACTTTGTCATTTAGTTTACCTGTGGCTTTACATCTGCTCACTGGTCCTTTTAGTTTTTATAAAACTCGGGATATTTGATGAAAGAATCGGGATATTTGATGAAAACTAAAGATCTTAGAAATGAAACCTCACAGAATCAAATGATTTAAAAATAACATAAAAGGTGAAAAGAAGAAGCTGAAATCTGGTAGTAAGGAAATCTAAAGCAATGCCAGAATAAATCAGCCAGAGGTTTGAATCACCTGATTTTCCTGCTGCCAACAGGTTAATTAAAAACATTTTATAAATATATATATATATAAAAAAAAAACACACAAAATAAACTCTTGCGCCACTTCGTTAATGTTTTGGTGGTTATGGGAGATAGATGCGTATGTATATATATATATATATATATATATATATATATATATATATATATATATGGCAACTATACCACATTTAGAGTCAGTTTGCCTTTGCAGTTTGAAAAATGAGGTAGTGACGAATGGTTTAATGCATAAAAGGACATAATTCAAATCTTCAAATAGATTCAAATCGTCCTCTGTTAAATAGTCAATTGCTGTCCAGCTTTTCTCTTTTGTGGGTTCAAGACTTTAGCGTGAAATAATGGAACTGGTCAGAAAGCAAACCGGTGATTTTGTCATGGTGCTGAAAAAAATCCAATCAGTGCATCATTAATGCTAATCCCAGATTAAGAAACCCAAACACAACAGGGTTCCTAGGCAGTCTTAAAGTGTGAGAAATTATAAAATTTGATTATCTAAAACTTTTCCTAGTAACCTATGAAACACACACAATTGTTTTTGGTTTCCATTTGGTTGATTTAGAATAAAATTGGGATTTCAAAATTTTTTACATATAGATCAATATTTCCACAACACCATAACTATCCTAAGTTTTTTTTTTTTTTGCCGAGCTATTGACAGAACCCACAGGTACAAAGGGATTTTAGGTCAGGGCTTATAATCAGATCTGCAATTCTTTGACCAAGCTCAGTTTTGATTTCAAAGCACAGTTCAAAGCACTCGTTTTTTTTTGTTAATCTTACAAGTGGTCACACAATTATGTCATTTTGGGCGTTACCGATTTAGACATGAAGCTGATCTACACCACTTAATCAGGAGGCAATTTATGTTT